CCCGACATGATGCTGATAGTAAAAGGAATACCCTTTTTTTATTGAAAATATTGTTAACAATCACAAATATTTTTTTAATAGTATTAGGCATTTGGACACACGCACTTTTTTGGGGGGTGACATTTTGTACAACATTTTACGCCTTTAGCTCGACATGGACAACTTTTTTCGCACAGTCCCGTTTACCATTGCACGCGTTCGCAATAGTATTTCCGCCTGTACTAGCGTAACCTTTACAAGCTTGGATGAATGTAACAACAGGTAAACATTTGTAATCAATAGCACGCAGATCGGTGAAATTGTACTTGTATAAAGTGTGCACATTGACAGGTGTATTGTCAGTTGCTTTTAGTATCTATGATTTACTAGACTTGTCCAAGTGCAATTTCGCCGATCTGCGTGCTATTAATTACAAAGGTTTACCCGTTGTTACATTCATCCAAGCTTGTAAAGGTTACGCTAGTACAGGTGGAAATACTGTTGCGGACGCGTGCAATGGTAAACGGGACTGTGTGAAAAAAAGTTGTCCATGTCGAGCTAAAGGCGTAAAATGTTGTACAAAATGTCACCCCCCAAAAAAGTGCGTGTGTCTAAATGCCTAATACTATTAAAAAAATATTTGTGATTGTTAACAATATTTTCAATAAAAAAAGGGTATTCCTTTTACTATCAGCATCATGTCGGGCGAATTATAATTTCCACTATAGTGGAGGTTGAAATATGAGTGTTAGTCATTTTTGCCCAGTGAAGCCGACTTTGGTTCAGTTATCGCCGTTGAATTCTCTATCGACTGGTGTACAACACATTGGAAAATAAAATTCATTTGATCTTTGCAAAGTTTTCATCTTACATTCACTTTGGTTGCCGCTTTCTTTGCCCTTTCTTTAAAATTCTTTCGTCATTAATAGCGAGAGAGATTTCGGTGATATTTTACTGATATTCTGAAAAATTGACGCTTTTATTGAGAAATGATAACGCTATTAGTTCTCAAGCATTAGTTCTCACATTTTTCAAAAACTGTAAGTTTTTCTCGATTTTTGATCGGGCTTAGAATCGGACTCAATGCATTACAAACAAATGTACATTTATACACACACACACACATTTTATTTCGTATGACTCTAAAAACAGTCGGGGGGGAACTTTTTGTCTTTCTTGGAATAATTAACTTACATAAAATATTTTGATTTGCTTTTCTACACATCTATTTCTTTATTGGGCAATCTAAGAACATGTGCGCAGCACATGAAAAACGTATAACACACTGTTAGAGTATAGAAATGAAACGTTATAAGGCCAGAATAGAAAAAGGCATACAACAAAAGCATTCATTAAGAGTCTCAACATATATATATATACATGAGTATATCTGACACAAATAAAATTTAGCAAGAGAGCTACCTCTTTACTGTTTTTCGCGCATTTTTTTTCTAATATAGATGGCGAAAATATTAGTGCACAAGCTTCATTTTTTGGAAAGCGCAGTAGTGTATAAAGCAAAAGGTTTTTTCTCCGGGGAATCTCATCCGATCTGACTCTCAATGAACGCTGTTTGTGAAATCACCACAAAACGAATATCTACGCTAATACATCTAAGTTTTTATCGAAAACAAGTTCTAACGACCAGGTTAAGTTTTTGAGTCTAATCGCCCATCAGTCTCTCTTATGTATTTTTAACATTACCGACTATGGGCTGATACCATAGACAGAGGTGGTTATGGAGCTCATCCTCGCAAAAAATGAAGGTTCTTGGAGGTTAAGAAAATTTAGCGATCTCATTGCATTGAGTGAAGCTTTTGGAAAATCACGTTTTTCCAGAAAAGATCAAAATCTTTTTTAAGAATGAGGCTCGAGAAAAACTTTTCCCATGCTGATTGGAAGCCTAACTTCCGCTGATTCCGAATATGACCTCAGATTAATGCTGACACCAAATTTAAGTCGAGAAAATGCCGTTTTTCCAAAAAGGTACAAAATAATAGAAGGATTTTTCCGACTAACTTTTTCCCGAGAGGAAAGGACTTCGGATAAAAATTCTTTTGCCGTTAGATAGCCCGTCACTTGAAGTATATAGGCTAATCTTCAAATCAAGAAAAATCAAACTTTATCTTTTTGACCAAATTGCCCACTGTGGGAGGGGTATCTTTACGTTTTAATAAACTAAATATTTTTTGTCACACTTGAAATTTAAATACTTTTGCTAAGCACCCTTTGCTTTCTCTTTAGTGTAAAGAAATGATTTCGCTACATACAAAATGCTAGTGTTTTCTACGGAAGGCTATTCGAAAGCAAAAAAGGTAGTGGATGCTTCTCTTTTAGAAAGCTATTCTCTCCAACCATGGTTTATCGTTTTTTTATACCTCTACTTTTTACTAAGTACTCATGTATTTGCGTAATCGTATTTTTTAAATTTTCTAATCGTCCTAGCTTATGTCTAATAGATACCTGTTTCATCCTCCTCTTCTGCGTCCCCATTTCCATCACTATTTTCCAAAATATCCATTATTATATCATCAGTCGACTTTTTTGCTTTCATCCAAAAACCGAGTGCGTTACAAATAACTAGATGTAAACGATGAGCAATGCACCATAGTCGTGGTATTTCTGTACTAATCTGATTACACGCATTGGTCATATTTGCGGCACCATCGCACGTAATACTATGTAATTTTTCATAGACACCTAGTTCTTTTAATCGATTAATGATAGATTGTGCGATATTTGCTGACACATGTCGATGTTTGTACGACGAAAAACTCAGTATAATAGATTCCGATTTAAAATTTTCATCCAGAAAATGACCAGTTATACATAGAAAACTTTCTAATGCTCGATTTGTCCAGAAGTCAGTCGTAATTGACAATGATTGAATATTTTTAAGATGTTCAATTAATTGATCATGATGTTTTCTTCGAAGATGTTTGAGGCTCTTTTGTACTGAATTTCTGTGAGGTGGTGTATAACCTATCCCAAGAAGAATATCCTTAATCTCAGGAAACCGAAGATCCCCCGAATAACCGTTTCCGCACGATCGTTTTCCGAAAACCCGCCGCCCAGCCATACATTTTACCTTTCGACTCCTCACACCCTATCCATATAAAACAAAATATACCCTATGCTGCAATTCTCCGAGCGCTACGCATCTGTTCACACTCTGAAGACTGCAAAACAGAGGTATTCAA